CTGTTTTTCCAAAATGGTTGTCCTATTTTACATTCCCACCAGCAATATATGAGGATTCTAGTTTCTCCACATTTGCACCAACATTTTAATAGATATGAAATGGTTTCCTGTGGTTTTTATTTCCATTTCTCTAAAGATGAATGATATAGAGCATCTTTTCATGTGCTTATTGGTCATTTGTACATTTTCTTTGATAAAATGTGTATTCAAAACGTGTGCCCATTTTTAATTGTCTTATTATTGAGTTGTGAGAGTTCTTTGTACATTCCGGACACAAGTCTTTTGCCAGAAGTAGGATTTGCAAATATTTTTCTGGTCTGTGGGTTGTCTTTTCATTTCCTTAATAGTTTCTTTTGAAGCACAAAAGTTTTATAATTTTCATGAAGTCCAATTTATTAATTTGTTCTTCTGAGTATTGTGTGTTTGGTGTTATATATAAGAAAATTTTGCCTAACCCAATATCAAAATTTTCTCCAATGTTTTCCTTTAAAAGGTTTATAGTTTCACCACTTATATTTAGGCCTGTGACACACTTTGAGTGAATTTTTGTATATACCGTGAGGGTACAAACCCATCCTTTTGCATGTGGATAGCCAGTTGTCCAGTACCATATATTAAAAAAACAAACAAAAAACTTTCCTTTCTCCATTGAATTGTCTTGGCATCTTTGTCAAAAATCAATTGACCATACATATAATGATTTATTTATGAACTCTCAATTCTATATTATTTTCTATTCTCATGTCAACATTACACTGTCTTGGTTACTGCAACTTTATAGCATGTTTTGAAATCAAGAAGACAAAGACCTTCAAATTTGTTCTTCTTTTTCAAAAGTGTTCCATTTCTTTCTCCCCCTTCTTTGTGCTATTGTTTTTCATATGTTATAAATTGAATAATAGTTTTGTAATTATTATTTTATGCAATCTTATATCATATCTTTTGAATCTTAAAAGAATAAAAGATTTTTAAAATCTACTTACACAGTATTTTATAATTAGTTACATATTTAATATTTCTGGAGTTGTTTTTTTTTAAATATGTTTTATTGACTTTGTACAGAGAGGAAGGAAGAGAGAGTTAGAAACATCGATGAGAGAGAGTCATCGATCAGCTGCCTCTTGCACACCCCCTACTGGGGATATGCCTGCAACCAAGGTACATGCCCTTAACCGGAATCGAACCCAGGACCCTTCAGTCCCCAAGCCGACGCTCTATCCATTGAGCTAAACCGGTTTCGGCTATTTCTGGAGTTTTTATTTCTTTGGGTGAATTAGAATTATTATCTAGTGTTATTTCCTGGCAGCCTAAAGAATTTTATTATTTCTAGAAAAAACACATATGTCTATGGAAAACAAGATTTTTTCAGCTTTACAAAATACTAAATAACCCAACCTAGAGGCAGATAAAATTTGAAGAGTACAAATATCTACATCACAAAAGGCCTGTGGTCCTCACACAGTAACACCATCAAGACCAAAGGAGCGGTGGCTCTTTGTGGGCGGGGCTCGAGCTACTAGCAGCAGAGAGCTATGAGTGGCAGAGGTGGGGTGAGAGCTACTAGCTGTGGAGAGCTAGGAGCCGGAAGGACCTGGCACAAGCTACAAGTGTTGATGGGTGGGGCAGTCAGCTGAGACAAGTGGAAGCGAGCTACCCATGCACGATTTCATGCACACTGGGCCTCTAGTTTTATTTATATCCACAAATTGCTGGCATGTTCATATTCTCATGTGGTATCTACACATATTCTAGAAAACCCAACATCTTCATCCAACCAATGTGGACCTCACCACTTCAAGCCAAGAGAGGGGACTTCAAAATTACTCAGAATAATGGATATTGCCTTCCAGATGGAGAGACTAATACCTGTCTCTCCCCCAGTGGCTGAACTGCAGAAACTCGTAGACCCACTCAACCCTGTCTCTGAGGTGAAGCTTGAGAGAGTCTTTGGTAAAGCTTGTCCTTAGGATTTGGGGGTGCAGGTAAGGTTAGACTGATGACTGCTCCCACCTGGATGAACCTGTAGAGAGGAGGCTGATGTAGCAGCCTGAACTGTCAGGGTGAGGGAAGAAAGCAGCAATGTAGACAGTGTGTGCATCCTTAGTTTGGCGAAATGAGGGTGTGTGGTTTTTCCCAGGGGCCAGATGCATGCTACAGAAGGCAGCCAGCTGGAAGAATTTCAAATGGGTCTCATGGAAAATCTTCCAGGTGAGGAGACTGCGGCTATGGGTAACTCCTGTGATAGAAACTGAGGCAGTAAGCAACTGACCTGAGAAGTGCTTACAAATTCAATGTTCTTGGGCTCCTACGACTATCAGAGTCCCCCTATATTCCCTCTGCTACATTCCTGTATCACTGCTAAACTTGTGCAGGATTGTTGCAAAGGTCTTGCTGTTATCAATGCTTTAGTTTATGTGAAAAGCCACGAGGCTATTGGGTTCAAAGGCTTGGAGAAAGAGCTGACATGCAAATTAAAACACAAGACAAGAAATATTAATTTGGAATTATGTGGGAAAGCCAGGGACATCTTAACTGTAGTAGTCAAGGTCCACTGAGTCTCTGTTCCCAGCTGCTTTTATTTACTAGAACACACAATTGCCTTTTAGGAATGCAAACAGACGTATCAATGGTAATGTTTAGTAAGCAGTAAGATTATGAGGTTTGAGGGGGTTTGCTTTAGGCCATTGAGTCAGCAGTAAGTAATAAAATGCAAATTCACCCTGTGAATATCAAAGGGGCCCAGATCAGCCTTCTGCTGGACTTCTCGAATTTATATTAATTACTGTTGATCTCGGTTTCCAGCAGGTTTCATCCATTTGCATTCTGGATTCCTGAGGATACATGTTACCATGTTTTGTTCAAAATGTAGTTTGTGAATTTTTTTCACTTTCATAATGGTTCTGTTCTTAAGATAGTAATCAGAGAAATCAAAACACCACATTTATCATCTTGCCCTGATCTGTTAGTCTGATGCTGACGTTTAGAAGAATCAGGCCAGTTAGCTTGTAGAATTCCCCAAAACAATCATGATTGTTTTTTCACGATTCCATTTAAACTTTAATCTCTTGTACCTTCTATAGACTTCCAGTTAGGTCTAGAAGCTTGATCAGTTTCAGGATAAGCATTTTAAACAAATACTTAATAATTGTCAAGAATACTTCATAGGTGCTACTGTGCTACCCACTACTAACGATGCTAAGTTTTCTACGTAATTAACAAATAATCTGCAGAGTGACATTTTGGTTCTATTAAGTCATCCAAACCACCGGGGGAATGTTAGTTAAGTGGTAGAGAGGCAAGGGAAAGAGAGAGAAGCCAGGATGTTGGCTCTAGCACAGAAGGAATCGGGGTGTCCCTCAGTGGGACCCTGCCATGCCTCACCCAAGTTCTGTTTGGTGAGCAGACAGGTGCAAGCACTAAACACACCTGGCCTATCCCCCCCCCCCCCCCCCTGACAAGGAACAGCTTTCCTCAAGGGCACTTCCGGCCTTTCAGCATTAGAAAGGGCAGCTGTCTGCTGCTTTATGCTGAGTTTTCGAAAGAGCAGAAGCCAGATTCTCTGGGGTCCCTGAAACTGTAGCCTCTAGATTCATTTCAGGGCACCAGGCATCGGAGTTTCTCCCTCATTTGTGTGTGTTGCTACCCTCCCCGCAGCCAAGTGAAGCTCCTAGGTCCTCCTCCAGGATCCTTCCAGGACTGCCCCTGAGTCCCCCTCTCCCCTCCTCACCTCCCCACCCCCACCCCCCCACCCCCACCCCTGAGCCTGAGAAGACAGCCCGGCTCTGAAGGACTAGCCAGGCCCCTGAGTCCTGTGAACAGCAGGCGCCCCTGTTCTTATTCTATTCGGAGGAGCTGACGGAAGTGCATAGGGTGGCTTTGGAGGATGGAGGGACACCGAGTCCCTAGGGGGCACGGTGGGGGAAGGGGCCTCCGGAATAGCCCGCTTGCCTCTCTGCCCAGAGACTTCTCCCCAGCCTTCCAAGTCCTCCCGGAAAATGATCGCAGAGAACCACGTCAGATTCACTGTCCCCTAAAGATGCCATGCTGGTCATGGGGGAGGGGGGGGGGGTAAGGGAAACCGGACGCACCGGTTCTGCGCTTGCGCGGAGCTCGACCGGGTTCCGGGGTCACTGGGTGGCGGAGCGGAAGTGCTCAGCTGACCCCGAGGGGAGGGTGTGAGAGTCCGCTGCCTGTTCTCTGGCCGGAGCTGTCAGATCCTGTGAAACTGTCAGATCCTGCGAGCACAGTAAGGGGAGGGTCCGGGGTGGGGATCATGGGGTGGGGTGTCCAGCGACAGAGCAGGGGTGCGATGTGTTTTGCAGGTGGACTGCGGACAGGGATTCATTGAGCGCCTCCTAAACGCCCTGAGCAGGCACTAGGGTTAGCTTGGTTGTATAGAGCTAAAGGAAGAACAGAAAAGCTAGGAAACGAGTCCATAGCCACAGAGCTAGTAAACTGGGGAAGCATTCCTTTCTTCCTCTTCGATTTTTTCCATCTAGCACTTTGCATTTCTCATGTACCTAAACGTATTTATCAAGTTGGTTCTTCTCTGTCTCCTCTGCCAGAATATAGCTCCACAAGATCAGGGAACTCAGATATTTTGTTCCCTAGCATATCTCCAATAAGAAGAAAGTAGAACAGGCACAGAACAGGCACTCACTTTTTTTACTTTTATTTTTATTATTTTTAATTTCTTTATTGATTAAGGTATCACATAATTGTCCTCATCCCCCCATTCCCATCCCAAACCACTCTCCATGTATGCCCCCACCCCCTGTTGTCCATGGCCACTAGTTAGGCTCATACGCATGCACAGAAGTCCTTTGGTTGATCTCTCTCCCTACCCCCACTTTCCCCTACCTTCCCTGAGGTTTGATGGTCTGATCGGTGCTGCCCTGTCCCTGGATCTATTCTTGTTCATCAGTCTATGTTGTTCATCATTTCTCCTAGATGACTGAGATCATGTGCTACTGGAAATACACTTATAAGAACCAAAAATGAGACAAGCCATAATGGTTATGCCGAGAGGCAAATGAATCAGTCTGTAGTGAGTTCCTTTCTGGGCCAACAGTTCTTTTGAGTCCCAATTTCAATGGCAAACAGTTCCTCATGTGTACATCAAGTGGCAGAGCGCACAGTTTGGTTCCAGAGCTCAGATGCTTCTGAAGTGAGGCATAGCTCCTGGTCCTCCTACGATGGAGCTCTTACTAAATGTTAACATTTAACACTAGAATGAGTTTATTTAAAGGCCTCCTGGTGTCCAATAAAACACAGGCTTTCCTTGTGGACGAAAAGGGGCCACAGGCTAACCTGACTAGCTCAGGGAAAGCCTGCGTGGTGGCCTGGCAAACTCAGAGACCTAAAGTCACCACATAAGATGGTCTGACATGAAAATGTTTTAAATTAGAAAGCAGCTGTGGTGGGTAGTCATGTCTTAGACAGGTATCTTTGCTGACAAAGATCATCTTAACTGAGCCTATTGTGGTACTTTGCATCTATGATTACACACCTGTGGAATGTCAGGTAACTTGTAACTTCCCTTTTCCCAGACCCCTCAGGGCACAACCAATGTGTCAGGGCACCAGGGCAGAGACCACAAATCCCCTCATTTTTATTATAATACTGCTAATTATTGGCTCTAAACTATCCTGTACAAACCTATGTAAAGGAAGTATGTGTCTATCATTTTACTTTTTATCCAGTCCCACAGGTTTCCCCACTTTGCTTTCTCACACCTCCCTAACTGATCACCAAGGGATTTCATGTAACCCACTTACTAGTACATCTCCTCCTTTGATTGTGATGTATAAAACTAAGTGAAGAAGCTACCATTCTCCAGAGCATTAGCTGAGTACTTTGAGATTCTGTTTCCTGGTATTTGTCAACAGTTTGGCTCAAATAAACTCACAAAAACTCTTTACAGATTTGAATGTTTCTTACATTAACATCCTCAATTTCACTTCATCATGAAGGTTACTAGTTGCATTTATGTGCTCACTGTCTTTCCAGAGTCAGGGTGCATAACTAAACCACGGCTCATCAACTTTAGACTCCAGCTTATCTGCCCTGGGCTTCTTTAGTCTACAGAACTCAGTCTGAAGCCCCAGAAGGAGGTAAGTTTCCCAGATCAGAAACAGATATCTGCTGTTAAAGTGATTGTGCCGTGCTAGCTCAGCCAAGGGTTCGGTGAGCCCAAGGGAGGGTGGAGAAGGATGAAGAAAAGACAGACAAAGAGAATAAGCTGGGGCTATGTGGATCTCCTGTGCCTGGCTGAGGCCACAGAAAAAGTTCCAGAGGGCAAGCTGAGCCTTTATTTTATAGCCAGAGGTAAACAAGGTGGTGGTCACCATAGTTACCATGTTCTTATGAGTTTCACTTGTTTTGGTGGCACTTGCTGCCCCTCCCACAGCCCATCAGCGACCCAGAAAGGATCTAGGGGCTCATAAGGTCAAGCTTAATTATGTTAAGAGGGCTGTGCCCTCTATTCTGGGACTTGTTTGCGGCTATGCCACCAGATCAGTCTGAGGCTTAACCCTATAACCGCTCCCTACAAGTGATGGTCCCAGATAAGATGTGTTTATCTTGGAACCTCAGTCCCTCTTCCTTAGGAACAGAGAGTTTGTGTGACAGGAATTGGAGGAGAAGTCCCAGCCCAGAGCCCAGAACTACATGCTCAGAGCAGAGAGAGGAAGCTCACACGAGAGCAGGTCCTGGAAGAGCTGGACCCACAAGGGCCTCTGCCGCTGACTCAACGTCCAGCAATACTGAAGGACTAGTGACAGTGGGCACATGGACCACTATTGGAGAGAGGAGAGTTACAGACAGATGGAGGGGCACTGCCAGGAGGGGGGAGCCTTGCTGTAGTGCCTGCAAGGTCAGGATCAAGCTGGGAAGATCGCTAGCAGCCTTCCAAAGCTTTCCCCTCTCCCAACACCTGTGTGCACTGTGCCATGCTCCCCTCTTTTGCCATTGGCTACTTCTGGATTTGAGTCAGTTCTGTGAGATGAATGTCCCTCCTACTTTTAGCAGAAGTACTGAATCTCCTTTACCCTGCCCAAAGTACACAATAGGTTTTTTAAAATATGTTTTTAGTTTTTTTAATTTGTGGAACTTCAGAGTCATTGCTAGGTATGCTGCCATCTTTTTAAATATATATATATTTTATTGATTTTTTTACAGAGAGGAAGGGAGAGGGATAGAGAGTTAGAAACATCGATGAGAGAGAAACATCGATCAGCGCATCCTGCACACTCCCTACTGGGGATGTGCCTGCAACCAAGGTACATGTTCTTGACCAGAATCGAACTTGGAACCCTTCAGTCTGCAGGCCGACGCTCTATCCATTGAGCCAAACGGGTTTTGGCCAGTTTTGCTGCCTTTTGTTGATGCTACTGTAACTGGGCTTGAGAGCATGATTTATTAAGCTACACGTGCTAAACCCTGTTGTCTCAATGCTGCCGCAGGGATTGTAATAACGGTTATCCAGCACACAAGCCCCTTGCTGAAACTTTCTTTGCAAAACTCCTCAACAAGGAAGAGCATGTAACCAAATCGAAATCATGAGAAAGGGGGAAGGGATGGTGGGGTGAGCCAATGAAGGGCAAAGGGCGCGGGTTCCCAGCTCCATTGGAACTGACCAGTGCTGGGCTCTTCTCCTCCCCACCCTCTCAGCCCTGGTTTGTCTCTTTCCCTCCAAACCACAGCAAGACATCCCTCTCCTCCAGGCTTTGCTCAAGGTCTGTCACCTATAGGGCTCGGTGTGATAGTCAGGGATTTGTAATAATTTTTAATTTTTGACTAGTAATTAATATCCACTGAGAAATGCAAAGAAACAAAAGAGGAAAGTTGAAATCACCATGCAAAGGTTACTCTAAACATTTTAACAAATGCTTTTCCAGACTGCTCTTCCTTAGTACACACATACTGCTTACCAAATGGGATCACACTGCACTTGCTTTTTGTAACCTGATTTTAAACATGTTAAGAAATGAAAACAGGATCCCACGCCATTTTTAAAGCCCATGTGGTATTACTATTTGTATTATTTCTTACTCTATTTATATATTTTTTATTATTATTGATTTGAGAGAGGAAGGAAGAAGAGAAAGATAGAAACATCAACGATGAGAGAGAATCATTGATCAGCTGCCTCCTGCAAACCCCCCACTAGGAATCAAGCCCACAATCTGGGCGTGTGCCCTTGACCAGAATTGAACCTGGGACCCCTCTATCCATTGAACCAAACTGGCCAGGGCTGTATTTCTTACTTTTTAATGGAGGTCTAGTTAAGCCCAAATTTTTGAATGGTGGAAACAACTACACTAACATCCTTGCAGCTTTGTGCTCTTTGTATTTGCTTTTTTTATGGTAAATTTCCAGGAATAGAATTATTGAGAGAAAGGAGTTACCGGGTTATTAATAGCTTCTGAGTAGATGTTTCCAAACACAAGTTAGACATCTGTCCAGGAAATGGAGACAATTCCATGTGCAAAACCCACAAGTGCTTAGCAACATCTCAAGAGAATAGATTGGTGCTACCAGGCCATTGTTCCAGATTATTCTACCCAGGGTACAGGGTGATTGTTATTAGGCTGATGATTATGGCCTCATGGCTGTTTGCACTGACCTTGACCTTCCTAATTCTGCCTTTGTAGACCTCCATCCTTTGTCCAGAGCAGAACAGAATGGCCATGTCCCAGGTGAGTGCCTCGTTTCCCCCCTACTTTGTTTCCAGTGAGCTGCAGGCAGCTTTGGGGAATCTGTAATGTAACCTTGAAAACTCTGTTAATCCCCTCTGTCTGGCCATTTTCTCTTCAACCTGTCATACACCTCAGGTCTCTCCAGTCCTTGCCCTCCCCCAAAAAAGAATAAGAAAAAATAAAGGATAAAGCCTTTTTTCATCTAATCCCACTGAGAAATTCACCTTGTCTTTCTTCTCTTCCTTCTCAGAGAAGATTGTTTAAATACATAGAATCATCTGGCTTCTTCCATTTCTTCACTTCCAGTTCACTTTTGCTTTTTCTTTATGTTGAAAATAATGAAAGTATATCGATGCTTAATGTTTTGATGTGCATAAAAACAGTAGGCAAAACAGTCCCATTCCTTCTCCCCCCAGTACCACGCTCTTCCACAAGATTTCTGCTGCTAACAGTTTGGTGATAACATGGTGTGAATGCATTTACATCAGTTAAATTAACTCAAAACAGATACATATGTAATATCACACATGTTTTTGCACCAATGCCATCCAGCTCCCATACCTATCTTGCTTTTCCCACCTGATTATATATTCTGGGTGGTGTTCCTCATCCTATATAATAAAAAGTTAATATGCAAATTGTCCCCTTGACCAGGAGTTCTACCAGGGCATCCAACCTCCTGTGTCCCCTACCCCCAGCTGGCCCAGCCCAATTATCCCAATCAGGGCGGGCCAGCTGGACCCCATCCATGCACAAATTCATGCACCAGGCCTCTAGTCAATACAAAAATATTATTTTAGTTCCTATCTCGTAGTATGGATGTATCATTTAACTTTTTTTTCTATTCATAGATACTTAGGTTTTTAATTTTCTTCTTCTATTAATAAACAGTGCCTCTTGAATAACTTTCCAGGTATCTATTTAGTAGTGCAGATATTTATGGAGAATATACCTGGAGGTTGGGATTTTAAATCAAAGGCATTCACAATTCAAATTTGCCCTCCCATATCCTAGATTAATTGCTACTTTCACAAAATTTTAAAGGCCAGCTCATGTCTATGTTTAGCTTTTCCAGACTCTTGAAAGATGAAAAGAAATTCAATTCATTTTATGAAGCCACTTAACCTTACATTTGAAGAAGATACTACGATGTAAATCATAGACCATTTTTACTTAAGAATATGCATACTGCTGAAATGGGTTTGGCTAAGTGGATAGAGCATCGGCCTGTGGACTGAAGGGTCCCAGGTTTGATTCCGGTCAAGGGCATGTACCTTGGTTGTGGGCACGTCCCCATTGGGGGGTGTGCAGGAGGCAGCTGATTGATGATTCTCTCTCATCAATGTTTCTTACTCTCTATCCCTCTCTCTTCCTCTCTGTAAAAAATCAATAAAATGTATATTTTTAAAAAGAATATGCATACTAAGTTTCTAAAAACATATTCTAAATAGAGCTTTAATGCAATGAATTGGGCATTTTTTAAAGTAATTTGTACATATGATAAAAATTCAAACAAAAGCTTTGTTTAACAAAAGGTGAAAAAGAATTCTTCCTGTCCCCTTGTCCCCTCATCTCCATTTTTATACATTCTTCTAGATATAAGGTATGCATATCTATCTTGAAATAATCATCCTTTTTCTTTCTGTTTTCTTTTTTACATATGACAGCACATTCTGGTCCTTTTCATGATCATTTTCACTTCACTGTATTTGGTCAGCCCTAGATTTTCTCAAATTGACACTCTTGACATTTGAGGCCAGGTAATGCTGTGTTATAGGGGGCTTGAGGATACATTGGAAGATATTTAGCAACATCGCTGACCTCTACCCTCTTGATGTCAGCACCCCCACCCCACATGGCAATAAAAATTTTTACAGACATTACCAACTCTTCCCTGGAGGACAAAATCACCCAGGGTTGTACCCCATTTACGAAGTGGCCGGTTGATAGCCCACTGGCTGGAAATACCATTACATATTTACCTTCTGTGATGTATAATACATTGAGGATGTTTTGATGCCATAAAAAAAAAACACACACATAGCAATACATATCCATGTACATTTCAGTTTGTATCCATATCTGATCTGGAAGATAACTTTCTAGAAGTGAGAATTCTAGATCAAAGACTGTATATCTTAAGTGTTGACAGTTTAGGGCTTCTAAGCCAGGTGGCCCCTGTCTTCTCTAGTGAGGTCATGGTCCCTAGCAACTGAGCTATCATTTGGGAAGAGTGAGAGGAGAGGGTGAGCTGCTCTGAGAACTCCTGCTTCCTGTCTCATCCTTCTGCAGAGCTAAGTAACACTGATGCCATGTAATGCCTATTGGAGCCTTGTGGGTGCAAAATGTTTCCTTGAATTCAAGACCACCAAGTGTTGGTGTGACAGTATAGAATGCAGAGTGTAAATAAATGGGTTATTGGTCTCTGACAGGAATCCGGGCACTTAGAAAAGTGAGTTTTTGGCTCTAACCCGTTTGGCTCAGTGGATAGAGCGGCAGCCTGCACACTGGGTCCCAGGTTCGATTCCAGTCAAGGGCATGTACCGTGGTTTCGTACACATCCCTAGTAGGAGGTGTGCAGGAGGCAGCTGATCAATGTTTCTCTCTCATTGATGTTTCTAGCTCTCTATTGCTCTCTCTTCCTCTTTGTAAAAAATCAGTAAAATATATTTTAAAAAAAAGAAAGTGAGTTTTTGTTTGGAGGTGACAAGCCAAACATAGACCTTTTTTTTTTTTTTACCTCAATCTGCTGACCAGGCCAGACACAGACTCTCCAGCTTCCTGTTTTGTTTTTGTTTTTTGTTGTTGTTTTGTTTTTTATGATGGACTAGCTAAGATTAGAACTGCTGGTCGTTGTGAGTCCCTTCTGTATAAGGGAAAACCCAGTTCTTCCCCACCATGTCTTTCTTTCCTATATTTCTCATTTTTGTGTCTCTGTCACTATTGACACAGAACACTTCCCCTCTGCCACTTCCGGTCACCAAATGTGTGGAGACTTTTCCCCACAGCAAGCACTTCTCTGTCACTGGGTATCCTACAATCTAACTCATTTTTAACACTAACTACCTGGAGATAGCATCAGTTCCCACAAGTTAAGGGCTCAGTCCCACAAACTGCCCGCCACACCTGTGTTTCTGACCAAGCAGCTAGGGAACCCAGAGGTTCCAGTGACTCCCCATCTTGGTCAATTTGCTAGAGTGCCTCACAGAACTCAGGGAAACACAGGATATGATACAGATGAGCTGCCAGAAGAAGAGCTACATAGGGTGAGGCCTGGTTCTGAGTGCAGAAGCTTCTGTCCTCATGGAGTTGTGGGGGCGGAGGGGGATGTCACCTTCCCTGTATGTGGGTATGTCCACCCACCTGGAAGCTCCCTGAATCCCTTACTATAGGAATTCCTTCAAGGCTTCCCCTCATACATACAATAATTATTAACGCCATTTCCACCCTGGTCCTTTCTCTGGAAGGTGGTGGTTGGGGCTGAAAATGCCAAGCTTCTAATCATGGCTTGGTCTTTCTTGTGACCAGCCCCTGATTCAGGAGTCAATCGAGAGTCACTTCTTTAGAACAGAAAGCGTTCCTAGTGATTTTAACATTTAGGAAATTATAAGGGTTTTAGGAGCTCTGTGCCAGGAACCAGGGAGCAGATACCAAATATACACTGAGTGGCCAGATGATGATGATCTCTGAGCGCATAGTAATCTGGCCACTCAGTGCATATCCTATATAATAAAAGGCTAATATGCAAATTGTCCCCTCAACCAGGAGTTCAACCAGCAGGCAGGCCAGCCAACTGCCCACATCCCCTCCTCCTGGCCAGGCTGGCCAGACCCCACCCATGCACAAATTCATGCACTGGGTCTCCAAAACACACACACACACACACACACACACACACACACACACACACACACACTGAGTGGCCACATTATTATCCAATCAGAGATTATATTTTCTATTATCTCACGGTCATGATTGAGTAATTGCATTTAGAGCTTGTCTAGTTCTGTAGTCTCTATGAAGTCTTCTGTGTCAGCCCCAAGGATAATTTACATCTTCCTCTCTTCTGTTCATAGTCTTCTGTCACTGTCCTCTGAGGGCTGATAACCCTCCTTCCCTCTCACTTTCCCTCCCTCCCTCCATCTCATATATGAGTTTCTAAGTGTTCTTTTACCTCTGCAACACTGAAGCTCCTTCCATTCAGGAGGTGTTTGTTTTTATTCATCTTTACATCCTTGAAACTTAACTGCTTGGTCACTATTCAATAATTATGGGTTAAAAGAATGAATTTCCAGGGTAAGATATTTCTGACACTTGATCTGTTTTTCATAAAGCTTAAAATAATTGTTACATAAACACTTTATATCCTATACTATGCCAAACTGTGGACAGTGAACAGCATAAGGACAGTTATATAGAGGAAGGCAATGCAGTGTCCTGTATTAAAATGAAAGTGTGGAGACCTGGCCAAGTGTGCTCAGGGGATACAGCATCAGCTTGTGCACCAAAGGGTTGCAGGTTTGATTCCCAGTCAAGGACAGGCACTTGGGTTGTAGATTCGCTCCCAGCCCTGGGTTAGGGGTTGCAAGTGAGAGGCAACCAACCGATGTTTCTCTCACATCAATGTCTCTCTCTCTCTCTTATCTCTCTTATCTCTCTCTCTCTCTCTCTCTCTCTCTCTCTCTCTCTCTCTCTCTCTCTCTCTCTCTCTCTCTCCCCCCCCCCCCCACCTCCTCTCTCCCTTCCTCCCTTCCACTATCTCAGAAAAGCAATGGAAAAAAATATCCTCTGGTGAGGATTAACAAAAAAAAAATGTGGGTGTGGAAACCAGACCACATGGGTTTTAATCCTTAATTCCTAGGTGTGTGACCTTGGGTGAGTAACTTTACACTGTGTGTGCCTCACTATCTTCATCTGTCAGGGTACTGGGTGGGGGCAAGGATAGAAATACTTAGGATAGGCACAGAGTAGGCAGTTGATATAAATCATATATATATATAGTCCCCCGAGCACTAAAGAAAAATGTGCTGTTGTAGGAATCATTGACCTTCAGAGACGTGTTTTTGGACTTCACCTTGGAGGAGTGGAAGCAACTAGACTTTTCTCAGAAGAACCTCTACAGGGATGTCATGTTGGAGAACTATGGCCACCTGGTCTCAGTGGGTGAGGGACTGCTCCATGGTGTGGCTAGAATACCCCTATTCATGTCTCCCTCTCTCGGCTGTTGCATGCTCAGGGGTGTCTGAAGCCCTGAATGAGTTCAGGCCTAAGGCTCACTGTCAAGAATTCATAATCCTATTTGCACCCTGCACAGTATGTCTGTGCTCTCGCTTTCTATGCGCATGGTTTGCATGAGGAGAAAATAGCTGTGCTTATGAGACAGTCAAGACCAGACCATCTTTACCCTAGGCCTCGGTTCTAGACTGCCTCCAGCATCCTATATAATAAAAGAGTAATATTCAAATTGACCACCACTCTAACACACAAGATGGCTGCCCCCAGGTGGTCAAAGATGGCTGCCCCCATGGGGTCATAAGATGGCCAGCACAAGATGGCCAACAGGGGAGGACATTTGGGAGGGACCAGGCCTGCAAGGGCGGGGAGTTGTTGGCAATCAGGCCAGCAGGGGAGTGCAATTGGGAAGAAACAGACCTGTAAAGGAGGGTAGTTGGGGGCTATCAAGCCTGCAGAGGAGAGCAATTAGGGGTGACTAGGCCAGCAAAGGAGGAAAGTTGGGGGCAACTGGGCCTGCAGGGAAAGGCAGTTGGGGGTGACCAGGCCTGCAGGGGCAGAAAGTTAGGGGCAATCAGGCTGACAGGGGAACAGTTAGGCAACAATCAGGCTGTCAGGGGAGTAGTTAGGGGTGATCAGCCTGGCAGGCAAAAGCGGTTAGGGGCAATCAGGAAGGTAGGCAGGCAATCTGTTGGTGGCCAGCAATCCTGGATTGTGAGAGGGATGTCTGACTGCCCGTTTAGGGGCCCAAACGGGCAGTTGGGCATCCCTCGAGGAGTCCCAGATTGAAGAGGGTGCAGGCTGAGCTGAGGGACACACCCCCTGTGCACAAATTTTGTGCACTGGACCTCTAGTTAATAATAAAGTCCTGTGTCATTTCACCTCCACAGGATACCTGGTGGATACACCAGATGTGATCTTCAGGTTTGGACAAGGAGAAGAGGCCAGGAAGGAAGATAGAGAATCCATAATACAGAGCTGTCCAGGTGAGCCTGAGCTAGCCAGTCAGGACAGGGCCAGGAGAACACAGTAGAGCAGTGAGAGCTTGGCCTTGGGCATGCCCTTGAGCTCTTCTCAGAGCCCCAGCCTTAAGGACAGGACTCAGGTTGAAATGAGTTGCTGTGATATCCACAGGATGGCCCCCATACACTGGTTGCCTAGCAAGAAGAACCAAGCCTTTTCTTCTCCATCTTTTCTGAAGTTTCAGGGCTTTTCCCCTCTTAGACATTTGTATTGTCATCAGAATAGAAGTAGATGCAGGTATGATTTTGTTTCCTCTTTATTTGCTATATGGTGGGCCCTTTGAGTCTGAAACTTGAAGTCTTCAACCTCAGGGAAATGATCCTACCTGGTTTAATAGAATCAGTGTGGACAAAAAGTTTTGGTAATGACCTTCAACTCTACCAGATCAGGTACCCACTTGTCTCTGCCAGCCCTTTGCGGTGAACAGGGTCAACATTTACACAGGTCTCTGTTTTCTCTTCTTATTTCCTCTAAGACCCTTCCAAAACTGACTTGTGATTGCTTGTTTTCATAATCCTCCTCTTATAGGTACTTCCTTCCCACTCAACTCTTTTGTCTTTTGTATTATCTGTTTATTCAAAAAAGAAATAAAAACTGGACAGGACATTGCTTCATGTTGACAAGCTTCAGTGAGCCATACCTCAGTCCTAAACAGAGCTGCTTTTTCCCCCCTTTATCTGTTTGTTTTTGCTCTGCACCCCTGATGGGGATTCAGGCACTCTTCAGATGTTAGTTTTCTTCTTTCTCCCCCACTCACAGTGCCACTCAGTGTGCCTCTTCCAAATAAGTCTGTCTGGAATGCTGCTACTATTCAGTGTGGTTCTTGGACTAGCAACATGGTCAAGGCCTGGGCTCCAAGAAGAAATACATCTCACATTGACTGCATCTGAATTTGCTGTTAAAATTCGTGTCAGAGCTCCAGCTATAGTCAGGTGCTGACCCAGCTGATCCCAAGTGACTCCTGGGTGCCTTTCCCAGACCCCATGCCTACTGGTCCGAGGCATCCTCTCTCTCAGAACCTTCCTGTACAGGCATGCACCCACCACTCTGTAGCTTCTCCCAGGGATATTTTGAGCTACAATTTCCTCTTTATTGCTCAGTCATTCCCATATCTACTGCCTTATAGAGATTCACCAGGAGTTCCCGTCTACTGATGGCATGCCTTTTCCTACTTCCAATGTTTCCAGGGATTGTAATGGCTGAGTTCATTCTTATTTCAGTGGTATCCTGGAAGGAGGAAAAGCAAACTAGAGGCACAATCCAGCTTGGAGTTCTGATTCCCTTATATAAAAAGTATACAATATTGCCCTGGCTGGTATAGCTCAGTTGGTTAAGCATCATCCTGTGCACTAAATGGCCACTGGTTCTATTCCTGGTCAGGGCACATACCCAGGTTTTGGGTTTGATTCCAGGTCCAGGGTCATATACGAGGACATGAATCAATGTTTCTCTATAAATCAGTGAAAACATTTTAAAAAAGTATTCCTTCCTATATAATAAAATCCTAATATGCAAGTCGACCGAACAATAGAACAATTGGTGGAAGGACCAGTCGCTCTGATGCACACTGATCACCAGGGGACAGGTGCTTAATGCTGGAGCTGCCCCCAGCCTGCAGGTCCCAGGCCAGCCAAGGCAGGTGCAAGTGGGGGTCCCCTGATTGTCCCAAATCACCCTGCAGAGGGAGGCAACCTATGGCAGCAGTGGGGGGAAAGGGCCAGTGAGTGGGTGATGCCAGGCCAGCCAAGGTGGGTGCCAGTAGGGGCCCCCCAGTTGCCCCAACCATCGCCCCACAGATTGGCCCTGATTTCCAGGCAAACTTAGGGACCCTACCCATGCACAAATTTCATGCACTGGGCCTCTAGTAAAATATTAAAAGTAGTGGGGGCTCATGTTATGTAGGAGTTCCGAACAGTATATTATTCAGAGTAATCCTAGTGTGTTTCTAGTCATGCTTCAAGTGCAGCCTCTTCTCAGGGTTTCTGTTTTTAATTCTTGAGAGTTTTTAGTTTTGTCACCCTTCTGTGAAAGATAAGGATTTAGCTCAATTACACATTGGCCTTCTGCTTCCAGCTTCTTCACAATTTTTTAAAAATTATTTTTAGTTTCTTTAATTTGCTGGTTCTTTATGTTGGATAATTTTGGATTCTATCCTAGATACTGGTGATTGTTTTGTTTGTTTGTTTTTTAATATTCATTTATCATGTGATAAACCTGGTTAGATTCAGACCACTAGTTTCATCTCACCATCTGAGGGTGTTGATTATAGTCAGTTCAGTTTTCAAAACCTTCACTGGGCTTCTTTGGATCTGTGTTGTGTATGCACCTTTCAAGAATTAATGTAAGACTTGAGTGATAGTTTAAGTCTTTGTACAATTTTCAAAGTCTTCGCTGTCCTGCCTTAGGTCTGTCTTATGCACATGTTACTCAGGTGTTAGTCTCAGACTTGAGCTGTGGTTTAAATCTTAGTTTAGTTTAGTTCTTAAAGCTTTTGTATGAAGCTTTGCTTTCCTTGCATGCACAGCTCTTGGATGAGCTCATGTCTTATGGAGATTCAGATGCCAAAGTTTTGTGAGGAAAACCTGAGTGATATATAGCTGCTTTTCCACTTTCTGGTTCACCTTCAAGTCTCTCTGCTTTTGTTTACTTGTTAGAATCCTCCAGTAGTTGCTTTACATATTTTGTCCAAAGTTTTTAGTTGAAATGATCAATAGACATACTTCATTGTGGCCAGATGTAGAGGCCTCAATTTAATTAATTCTGGGTTTTATCTTATCTCTGTCCTGTTGCTAGTTGGAATTTAATTTTCCCTTTTCCTAGTTGTATAAGATAGAAGCTTATATCATTAATTTGATAGCTTATTTTTCTAATATAAGCATTGTGAATGCTATGAAAGTCTTTAAGAACTGATCTAGCCGAAACCAGTTTGGCTCAGTGGTAGAGCATCAGTCTGCGGACTGAAAGGTCCCAGGTTTGATTCTGGTCAAGGGCATGTACGTTGGTTGCGGGCACAACCCCGGTAGGGGGTGTGCATGAGGCAGCTGGTCGATGTTTCTCTCTCATCAACGTTTCTAGCTCTCTATCTCTCTCCCTTCCTCTCTGTAAAAAAATCAATAAAATATATATATTTTTAAAAATAGGAACTCTTACCCTTAAAAAAATAAAGAACTGATCTAGCTGTTTTAACACATTTATTGCATAATTGACAAGAAATTGCACATATGTAGAATGTACAATTTGATAAGTTTTGACATGTACACACCCATGAATCGATCACCACAACCAAGATAATGAAGTCATAGATGAGTTGGAAGTATTCCTGCATCTCCAGTTCTGTGGAAGAATTTGTGTAAAATTGGTATTAGTTTTTACTTAAATGTTTGATAGAATTCCCTAGTGAAGGCATCTGGGATTGGCATTTTCTTTGTGGGAAGGTATTAAGCTACAATTTCAATTTCTTTGATATTGGATTATTCTTGAATTAATTTGGTAATTTGTATCTTTCAAGGAATTTGTTCATTTCACCTAAATTAGCATATAGTTGTTCATAATATTCCCTTATTGTCCTTTTTATTTTTTAGGATCAGTGGTAATCTCATTTTAGTTTTTAAAAAGTCTAATTGCATGTAGTAGTGAAAACTATGAACTTCATTTAAAAGGAAATCTTTCCCCCTTTTCTCTGTTTTGAGTCCTGCTCCCCTCATTCCCTCCCTGGACAAACAATATCAAGAATATGGTGAGTATCCTTCTAATCCTTGTTTTTATACTTTAATAGATATCTGTAATTAATATAACATTCTTCTTGTAAATTTATCAGATTGGTGTTTTCAAACAATGGAGTCTTTCTACAACTTGCTTTCTGTATTCAGTGGTGCACTTTGAGCTTTACCTATGCTGATATGTTACATTTACTTCATTCATTTTAACTCTTGTATAGCATGCCAATGTCTGAGTATTGTAGTTCATTAATCCATACCTCTATTGGTGAGCATTTGGTTATTTCTACTGCTTTGTTGCCATTCTTGTACATGTTTCCTGACTTACATTTGCAGAATTTGTCTATGGTGTCACTACAAGTGGAATGCATAGTAGGGTACGTACATTTTCAATTTCACTAGGTGTATTATCTCTTTTCTCTTATAAATAAGTTCAAATTGCCATTGTGTGCTTAAGAGTTTTGCATCTGTGTAAATCACATTTCTTTATAATATGCTCATATTCTGACCTTATTTGCTTTTGGCATTAAGTTCATTCTGTTTTGTATAATATTAAGCATTGTTTTACCATGATTTTATTTTCAACATTTCTCTCTCATTTTGTTCCAGTTGTCTTTTGAAAGCAAAGAGCTAATGTTTAAAAATACAGTGTAATATGGTTAGATTTTAGTTAATATTTGTTTATTGTACTATTACTATATTTGTATTCCTTACTTGTTTGTATTTTATATATATATATAAATATATATCCTGCTTTTTTTAACCTCTTTTTTCTGCTTTTGTTGTATTTTCTTTACTTCCCTTTTCCCCTTTAACTATCTTCCTCCTGAATATTTCAAGTACCAAGCATTATTCTTAACCATGAGTCTTTTCTTGTCCAAAAATGTCTATATCTGTCATATTTCTTTGAAATAATTTCTCTAGGAGTAGAGTTATAAAATGATGATAGCTTCTTTCAGGATTTTGAAAATATCCTTTAATATTTTGGGGGTTTTTTTGTTTGTTTTTTGTGTTTTTTTTACCTAGATAGCGGGTCCCCAAGATCATTACCAGATTCAGATGAGAATGACTCATGGGAATCAGCATATACAATAGTTGTATTTACAGCTAAGATTTATTACAGGGATGAAGTGAACATATAAATTAGATCATAAGGGGAAAACACTAATAGATTCTGGAGGAATTCATGTATAGTATCCCTTATGCTTTCTCTCTCCCATGGAAGGTCACACAGGGCACACTTCTCCTACTAGTGAAAATTCAGCAACCTATGTGATGTTTATGCGCAGGGAAGACTATTCGAGGCTCACCTCCCTCAGATTTTGTTGGAGGCTGGTCAGATATACAAACACGGCCTAGCACATACCAAAATGCAAGACTCCCAGAAAGAAAGGAAGTGTTCAGCATAAATCAGTGTTTGTATGAGCAGCTTTATCTCTTAGGGAATGGTGGGGACATTCCTGAACTCCAAATTCCCAGATGTCAGCCAACGACCAATCTCCCAAGAAGGCTTATCATTTCTCTATTTCTCTTACCATGTTTCTATTTTGTTAGCTCTTTATGCTACATTTTTGCGTTACTTGTCAAGCTCTGTCATCTAATTCATTAAATCTGTCTTTATCTGTGACTAGTTCAACATCTCTAGTTTAGCAACACCTATATATTCTTTTATTTTTATATTTGTTGTCCCAAAATTTCCTATTTTTCACCTGTAGTCCAATTCTTATCTGATTTTTTTTGTATACTTAAAATGTATTTATTTTTAAATCCATATATTTCTAGGAATGTGGGATTATCTTTAAATGTGTCTGCTAATTCTCTCTCTCACAATGATTCATTTCTTTGTGAGATTTTTAATTGCTTACTGTGAGCTCTTCAGTGAGAACTGGTTTTCCATAGATGGTCTGTGAGCCCTAAACTATAAAAACATAACAATATACCTTTTGGAAAGTTTGCCATTGCTAGGAACCTACTAATAACAGGACCAATTTTCAGGTTAATTTTCAGATTGTTGTTGTACTACACTAATAATCACTTGAATTGGTTTACAGAACTAGGTTTTTTGTTTCTTATACACTAGAGGCCTGGTGCATGAATTTCGTGCATGGGGGGGGGCGTTCCCTCAGTCCAGCCTGTGCACTCTCACAGTCCTAGACCCCTCACCCCCTCACTCTTTGCTGCCTACCTTCTCGCTGATCCTTACTGCCACCATTGCTACTCTCACCACACCGGTGAGCCTGGCTTTTGGATGAGTGACACTCGCCCTGTGGGAGCACACTACCACCAGGGGGCAGCTCCTGCATTGAGCATCTTCCCCCAGATGGTCAGTGAGCATCATAACAACCAGTCTGGTTGTTCTGCCGTAAGGGTTGCTTAGACTTTTATAATATAGATAATATCCTTATTTTCAATTCCCTTAACCAGTGGGGAGTCCCTCTAGTTCCTGTTAAACATGGAAACACATTGTGATTCCAGCTTTAAGTGAAAATTATATTCTGAACATTTGTGCCCTGTGATCTGGAGTCCCCTGCAAATCCTCAAGCTTCAGTTTCTGTTCATCCCTCCACTTTAAATTCCCACTTCATTGCTCACATGTAATAAGTTTATTTTCTTGATTTTGAGCTTGACTGTGTTTAAAATTATTTTTGTTAAATATAGGACAGCATTTCTTTGCCTTTTCATTTGGTAGTGGTGGAGGAGAATAAAGAGGGTCTATCCACATCAGCTCAAATCTATTGATAGAAATTCTCAGTGGGGTGTTTATGAATTAATTTTGTCCCATAACATTATAGTAGGAGCATTTACAAGTTTGATGATTTATTGCATTTTTTCCCTAGAATTCTGGCAAGTTGATGACCAGAAAGATAATCACAAGGAAAGCCAAGATAAATCTCTGTGGCAAGCTACATTTATACATCAGGAAACACTGAAGGATGCAAGTGACCAAGAAATAAGAACATGCAGAAAAAATATTTATCACAGCACAGACTTTGTTTCTATAAGACAAAGACTCCTTAAACATTATTCATTGGGAAGATGTTCAAAACATAATTTTAATTATATTAGTCAAAATAGAAGCTATGGAAAAAAGAAAGATGATGAATAGCAGGCATATTGGGAATTATGCTTCCATTCTAATATTGATAAAATTCAACCTGGAGAGAAAAATCTTTGAACCTAAACACCATGGAAACCCTTCCACCATAAATGAGCCCTTAAAAGTCAGAGAATTCAAACTGGGGAGAAATCCTATCAATGTTCTGACTGTGGAAAAGCATTTATCCAGAAAGGAAACCTTGCTTTTCATCATAGAACTCACACTGGAGAGAAACCTTATGAATGCTGTGAATGTGCAAAAGCCTTCAGCCAGAAGTCAACCCTCATTGCACACCAGAGAACGCATACAGGGGAGAAGCCCTATGAATGCAATGAATGTGGGAAAACCTTTATCCAGAAGTCAACTCTAATTAAACATCAGCAAACTCATACAGGAGAGAAATCATTTGTATGTGGTGAATGTGCAAAAGCTTTTAAGAGTTCATATCACCTTATTAGACATGAAAAACACACATTAGGCAAGTATTTTATGAAGGTATCAAATGTGGTAAGTCAAGCCTTATACATCAGAAAACTCAGGTGAGAAACCCACCCCCATGAACATCAGAAAATGCATACAAAAGAGAAAACTTATGAGTGCAACGAATGTGGAAAAAGCTTCAGGGGGAAGTCAGACCTCTCTGTTAATCAGAGAATTCACACAGGAGAAAAACCTTATGAATGTAGCATATGTGGGAAGACTTTCAGTGGAAAATCACATCTCTCTGTCCATCATAGAACTCATACAGGAGAGAGACCTCATGAATGCAGAAGATGTGGGAAAGCCTTTGGTGAGAAATCAACCCTTATTGTACATCAAAGAACTCATACAGGAGAAAAACCCTATAAATGCAATGAATATGGGAAAGCCTTCACTGAAAAATCACCATTGATTACACACCAGAGAATTCATACAGGAGAGAGACCCTATGAATGCAGTGACTGTGGGAAAGCCTTTAGTAAGAAGTCTACTCTCATTAAACATCACAGAATTCATACGGGGGGAAATCCTATGAGTGTAGCAAATGTGGGAAAGTTTTTCATGTGAAATCAACTCTCATTGTACATCATAGAACTCATACAGGAGAGAAACCTTACGAATGCAAAGAATGTGGCAAAGCCTTCAGTGGGAAATCAACTCTCATTAAATATCAGAGAAGTCATTCATGAGATAAAACCTCTTAATATACTTAAAAGGGTTTACATCAGTAGCAGTTATATCAATTCATCCTCAGAAATAACTCTTAAAGTTCATAAATTCTTCATATAGTATTTAATGTTCATTTAATAAAATGTACAAAAGTATAATTGCAGAAACATATAATAAATGTGATCAATTTTTCACCCAGAATTCTTATGCATGCATTACAAATTGTATATCAGAATTCAAAAGTGACAAAACTGTGTCTTGGTGTTGGAAAGCCTTTGGAGAGAATTGAAATGTCATTGCTTATCAGAGTATTTATGCTGTGGAAAAACTAAAGATTTAATGAATTTATAAAACTGTTGTAAATTATGAGAGAACCCAAACATTGTGGAAAAGGTGCAGAGACTGCAAATAAGCACTCATTAGTAACACTAAGATATATTCATTGTGAAATAAAGTCTGACATTTTTAAAAGAACAGTACACTAAAGCATAAAATATAAATCCTAGCTAGGGCAAACTCCCAGTGTATTTCTTAAATAGAGTGAGAAAGGATGGGTCAGCATGATCCATGAGAGGAGCTCAAGCAGAAGATCTTCCACATATTCAGTGCAGAATCACAAACACAGAAAAGACATATAGTAAGCTTTGACACAACTTGCTTAGGAATGCTGCTTACAACATAATATTTTGCCTTTTAAGAAAAGTTAAATCATTTTATGGTTACACTAGAGGCCCAATGTATGAAATTTATGCAAGAGAAGGCCTTCCTTCCCCCCAGCTGCTGACACCAGCTGCCAGCACTGGCTTCTCTCTGGCATCTGGAATCCAGGTTTCCCTCTAGCCACCAGCAGGCACCTGGAACCTGGGCTTCCCTCGCAGCCCTGGTTTTGTCCAGATAGTCATCCAGAAGGACATTTGGTCTAATTAGCATATTACACTTTTATTATTATAGATTTTATGCCTCATTTTATGAGGCAATGAAAGATTTTTAATTTTTAGTGAATCTACCATCACAGCAATATTATTTAAAATAGCAAAAAAAAATTGAATATTCAATGATGGGCAATTGATTGAAGCTATACCAAAAAGGTGGAATAACATAAACCAATTAAGCATTATCCTGTTTGGGGGAAATGTTCACCCCCTAACCACTCCCCTGCCAGCCTGATTGATGCTTAACTGCTCCCCTGCCAGCCTGTTTGCCCCTAACTGCCATCCCCTGTAGGCCTGGTCGCTCCTAACTGCTCTCCCTGCAGCCTGGGTCCCCCCCAACTGCCCTTCCCTACAGGCCTGGTCACCCCCAACTTCCCTCCTATGCCAGCCTGGTGACCCCTAACTGCCCTCCCTGCAAACCTGGTCCCCCCGAACTGCTCTCCACTGCAGCCCTGGGTACCCCCCAATTGCCCTTCCCTGCATGCCCAGTCACCAGCAACCTCCTTCCTCTGCTGGCCTGGTCCCTCCCAACTGCCCTCCCCTGCTGGCCATCTTGTGGTGGCCATCTTGTGTCCACATGGGGGCAAGCCACTTGTGTGTTGGAGTGATGGTCAATCTGCATATTACTCTTTTATTAGATAGGATAGAGGCCTGGTGCATGGGTGGGGGCAGGCTGGTCTGACCTGAAGGATGTCCCGGATCAGGGTGGGGGTTCCCTTGGGGTGTGGGGTGGCCTGGGCAAGGGACCTGTTGTGGTTTGCAGGCTGGTATCTGGAATTTATTTATCTTCTACAATTGAAACGTTGTAGCCTGGAGGGGAGCCAAGCCTTCTGCTTGCTCTGTGGCAACAGCCATTTCTATTAGGGTTTATGTATCTTCTATAATTGAAACTTTGTAGCCTTAAGCAGAGGCCTGGGCTGGCCAGGGTGTGTGGAATGTTTGGCTTCCTCCATTGCTAGGGACAACCCTAGCCTACCGCTCTTTCCAGCTCTGTGGCTGCCACCATTTCTGTTTGGATTTGTTTACCTTCTATAATTGAAACTTTGTAGCCTTGAGTGGAGGCCTAGGCCAGCAAGGGCAGGCAGAAATCTTGACTTCCTCCATTGCCTGGGAAACCCAAGCCTCCCTCCTGCTCTCTGTGGCTGTAGCCATCTTGGTTGGGTTTATTTGCATATTCTCTTCTGATTGACTGGTGAGCATGGCTTATGGGTATAGCAGAGTGATGGTTAATTTGCATATTACACTTTTATTAGATAGGATTGATTTTAGAAAGGAAGGGAGAGTGAGAGAAACATCCATCGGTTGCCTCCTATACACTCCCAACCAGGGATCAAACCCACAACCTAGATATGTGCCCTAACCCGGAATCAAACCCACAACCTTTTCAAAAAGATATATATTTTTATTGATTTCAGAGAGGAAGGGAGAGGGAGACAGAAACATTAATGATGAGAGAGAATCATGGTTCAGCTGCCTCCTACATGCTCACTACTGGGTATTCAGCCCACAACCCAGGCATGTGCCCTTGACTGGAATCAAACCCAGGACCCTTCAGTCCGCAGGCCAACACTATCCACTGAGCCAACCTAGCTAGGGCAAACCTGCAACCTTTTGATGTAGGGGGACACACTCCAACCAACTTAGCCACCCAACCAGGGAGGTATCCCATTGGATTTTTATTTCTCTGAGGGATAATGGTGTTGGATATCTTTTCATGTGCTTATTGGACATTTCTATATCTTCTTCTCATAAATGTCTATTCACATTCTTTACCTATTGCCTTTATTTTTGAAAAACAGTTTTGCTAAATATAGAATTGGCTGTTGACACGTTTTCTTCTGGCACTTTGCATATATTCTTGGTGCTTCCTACTCCTATAACACTGCTTTCTGCCTTCCACTGTTTCGGATGAGAAATCATTGTGATTCCCTTGCATATAATATGATGTCCTTGTACCCAATGAGTCATTTTTCTATTGTGGCTTTTAGTATTTTGTTTTTGACTGTCAATGGTTTGAATATTATATGTTTAGGGACTGAGATCTTTGTGTTTATCACACAGAAAATTCATTAAACTTATTTTATGTCCAGATTAAAATTTTTCATCAAATCTAGGGTTGTTTTAGGCATTATTCGCCCTCCCCCATTTTTCTGCCCCTTTCTCTTTCCTTCTGGCCAATATCCAGGGTCATGAAGTGATTGTTTTTTCCAATCTTGTCAGTTTTACCATTGCTTCTCATTGAGCCATTTTGGAAGTTCCACCTATACTTCCTAATTTTAATACCTAATACTTCCATATCAACCGCAAACAGCTGAAAACAGGGGGCAAGTGGACCTGAGAAATAGTTGCTTGTTAAACCATTTAAACGAATAGTTTATCTGAATTGCTCATTGGAGAAAGCATATTCTCAAACAAAGCAGAGTTATGAGTAATATTTGCTTATGTGACCTGGTAATTCTTCACTAACTGAACTAGTATAATCATCTTCCTAAAAGAAAAGTTCTATAATCCTTGGTTAATCATGTTGACTGGGAAAAAATAATTCTTCACACAACAAAGTTGAATTGTACATTTTTTTCTTCCTCCAGCAGATGGTGACATTTTATAGAATATGGATAAATTGTCCAGACCAGTAAGCCAAGTGACTAAAATAGAATTGTCTCTAGTTTGTTTTGTCTATCTACATCTTGAATTCATTTACAAAATAGCATTCATCAGGAAGTCACATTTATAAAAGAAGATCAAGAATAATAATAAAAAATCATGACCAATATTGGCAGTGAAATTTTTCAAGTTCTTCAGCGCTTATCTGCATTGTGTGCTTTCACATTTGGCATGTAGTCACACCAGCCTGCCTGTATACAAAAATAGAATAGCGAGGACAGAATGCTGAAGTGGACAAATTTTCCTTTATATAACGTCCACCTCTGATACCTCTTCATTTCTTTCTATGTGAGTTTCACATCTAATGAGATATCACAGACTGAGATGTGGACAAAAGGCATTTCAGACAGAGGGAACACCTTAAGCTCAGATTTAGAAGCATCAAACTATTTGACATTTTTGCCAGACCCAGAACAGTTTGGCTAGAACACACCATAAAACACACAATGTACCAACCAAACTGGAGTGGAGGATAGAAGAGGAAGGAAGTGGTGGGAAGTGAGACTGTAAAGATAGGTTGGGCGCAGATTATAAAATCTTTAGAAGACATGCTAATGAGTAAGGACAACACTATGAGAAAGCTTTTGAAGTCTGCTAAGGAGTGTGAAGTTGATCTTGTGGGCCTCAGGGAGCTGTCTTATAAAGGAGTGAACACAGAAAAAGAGTGAGTGAATCAGAGAGACCAAATAAAAAATGATGGATCACACAATGCTAGAAAGGAAAAACAGTGTGGATTGATGAACAATGATGTCTTGCATGGAAAAGGGTTAATGATGGAGCCATATTTAGGAGGCATTCACATGATAGGTAGACTATAAGCTAAGGTGCATGGCTGGGTGTGCTATCTAAGAAAAGGATAGGCATGTACAAAGATGACTATGTAATAATAGCATTATGCAAAACAAGAAATTCATAAGGAATAGAGGGTTGTAAAGGATTTGGTTTTAGGACAGTGGTTAGCAAACCACAGCTCATGAACCACATGCGGCTCTTTGGCCCCTTGAGTGTGGCTCTTCCACAAAATACCACGGCCTGGGCAAGTCTATTTTGAAGAAGTGGTGTCAGAGGAAGTTTAAGTTTAAAAAATGTGGCTCTCCAAAGAAATTTCAGTCTTTGTACTGTTGATATTTGGCTCTGGTGACTAATGAATGCCGACCACTGGTTTAGGATGAAATGAATTTGAGGTGGCTGGAGGGCATCAGGGTGGAGTTGCTGGGACAAAAGTAGAATTATGAGATTAACGAGTTCAAGAGAGAAATCTGGAAATGATATTTTAGTGAACAATTAAAACTTGCTTGGAAAGGCCATGCTACTTGAGTCCCAGGAGGTTGAATAAAATGAGAAAAGGACACTAAGGATAGAGCTTTGGGATTCCCAATATTTTCGGTTAGGTGGAGACTATGTAGGAGATTAATAAGCAGCCAGTTTGGCTCAGTGGACAAAGCATTGGCCTTTGGACTTAAGGGTCCTGGATTGGATTCTGGTCAAAGGCACATACCTTTGTTGTAGGCCCCCATGCATGTGTGAGGCAACTAACTGATGTTTCTCTCTGTGTGTCTCTACTCATCCCTTCTACTCTCTCTAAAAAACAACGAAAAAAAATAT